CAGCCGCTCCGGTTCGGTCTCCGAGAAGCTGTCCCGACTGGGTCTAGCACGGGGCGTGGAGGAATCGGGTCTCGCGTCGGCACGGTCGACCGTGAGTTTCCAGGAGGGGACCACGGCCGCGGCAGAACGAATGGCGTCCGAACGGGCAGTGCCCACCAGCAGCGTGTTTGTGGCTAGCTTGTGGGTACAGCATGCCGAGCTCATGGCCAAAGAGGTGTTCGACCTTCGACGCACACGTTTAGCATCCGTGCTTGTGTCCCTCCACAGGCGCAGACTGCGGGACACTGTGGATGCCCTTTATTTGGCTAAGATGTCCTACACCTTTCTACGCAACCAAAGGCAGGAACTGCTCCTGACACTTGTGGAACAGAAACACACTCGTGACCAGCTTCACAAACGCCGCATTTGGTCACAATGGCTGCGCTACAGCTACCGAGTTCAGTCGCGCGAAAACGGGTTGCTAGGACTCCTAGGGCCGTCGAAGCTGAGACTGCAGAGGGCGGCCGTACGTCGATGGCATCTGAACGTAATGAAGCTGGGCGATCGAGATCTAACGGCCATCCTCAAGCTTGTCAGTTCCATACGACGCATACAACTGAAACACCTTAGCTCAGCCGTGCGGGTCTTGGACCGGCATGCCATGGACCATGAGATGCGGGACACCATGCAATTGGCGCAAAACCTCAGTCGTGCTAACACCAAAATCCTCGCTACTTTCCATCAAATACCCGTCACGCGATCTATTCTGATTTTCGCCAACTTCTGGCGCAAGACCGAACGCGTCCAGGTCCAGTACGCCTTCAACAAACTCATGCTTCACACGAAGCGCCACCGCCTGGTTGTGCGACTATGTGTGGTTCTTGACGCAATAGTCACCGGCGTGCTGGTGCGCTTCCACAAACGCGAACCCTTCAATATGCTCCGAGTGCACGCCGACCAGGAAGCGGTGTCGGAGGCCCGACAAATGATGGAGCTGGCCAAGATCCGAGCGGACGAGCAGATCCGGCTGTGCTCACAGAGGTGCGCGGTAGTGTGCATCGAACGCGTGTGTAAACGAGCTAACGAGCGATACCTTAAGTTCTCCACCTCACAACTTCGACGGAATGCGCTGACCCTGACCCTCGCCCAAGAAAAGGAAGCCTTTCTCGACTACCATGGCGCTCTCGTACGGGTCGGGAAGAGGACGGCGATGGAACGCATGGCCTGTACCTTGGTCAATTCCTGGGAGCGGAAACGAAGATCACAGCTCTTCGAAGGCTACATAAAACTCCTGGTGGCTAACAAGTCAGAGAAAATGCGGCTAAGTATCCTCAAGGAGAAGGCAATATTCAATCTAACTGCTTACATCGAACGCCGACGGGTCCTGTTGCTCAACGAGAGCTGGAAGACCCTACGGCACATCCTCGTCATTGCTCCTCAACACGACGCGCTCCTGCTCCAGTCGGTCTCCCAAGCGATTGTGTCTGCCCAGAAAACGGCTTCCGAGATCGAAGTCTGCCGCAAGGTTGGTGAGGCGCGAGAGGCTTACAACGCATCCCGATACGGATACGTCCTGCCCAAACTGACCGCTCATCGACAGACTCCTCATACTCATGGACGTCGAAATCCTTCCCACGACCCTTCTCACGATCCTTATAATGACTCTCACACCAACCCATATGACGACCGCCCTGAGCACTTTTCCCGATTTGGAGGATATGGTGATGACAGCAGCGGGGCTGGGCCTGGTCGCCCGGACTCCCCGGGCGGTCTCTCGGGTCCGCCACCATGCCTGCTGCCGTCACCCGGAGATGTGGCGCCTTCAGTCAACGCCGGCACCATCAATTCCCCCAACGTCTCGCCAGGCTTTGCACCCCTCGACCCACAGCAGATAGATATTCAACAAGTCGGGATCGAGTCCTCGAGACCGCCCCAGGACTCCAGCCACAGAGACGGCCTTAGCGGCCGAGTCGCAGAACGGCTACTCAAGACAGCAGGCCGACTCGGGGTAGCACCGGAGCTCCTTCAACCGTTTATGTCCGGCGGCACGTCGCCCAACTACTCCGAACTTCCAACGCCTCGCGATCCCGATGACGAAGACCCCAGTCTAGCACAGCTCCGGAAGGAACTAAACCTAACAAAAATCCCTACCACCAAGCAGAAACAGCAGGTCAAGGACCACCTGGCAATCCACTCTCCGACCTCGGACCGACCTTCCCCAGAGGACTCGAGCTATGACTCTGATAGCGGTAAGCACACCACACCCAAGTACCAGGTAGAACTTCGGTCTGTGACCAGTGTACTGATCACAGTGTACTGATCACAGTGTACTGATCACAGTGTACTGATCACAGTGTACTGACCAAAGTGCACCACAGGCCCGCCTACCCGCCCGCATTGTCGGTCATAATGGGGTCGTTGCAGTAGATTGGTCGCTACCTTTCCCTGTGCATGTTCCCCTGTACATGTTACTGTGTATATGTGGTTCACAATTTGTGTCCTTAGTGAAGCGCTTGCTCAACATGGCGAATAAGTTCCTAGCGTCTCAGCCGAGCGTGCCGGATACCAACAGACCAACGCATCGAGGTGGAGTAAGAGAATCTGACACTTCCATTTCTTCCCCGAACACTATCGACTTGCACCACATTGAGGCTGGAATGGGGGATGGAGCGGGGGGGCAAATAGGGGTGGGCATAGGAGAGGATGCCAATGGGACAGACGACTTGTCGTCGATCACATCGTCCTCGCTCACTTCTGTGAGATCAAGGTTGCTGTTGTCACCTTCATACTTACTGGACAAGATACGAGCCGGGCGCGAAGAATGGTTAGTAACCATTCTTCACAACGCAAATAATGCCCTCGAGAAGTGCGCAATGAGAGATTTCTACTACGAGAGGACGGCCCCGAAGTCAGGCTCGCCCACGACAGGACAGGTGGTCAAAGGGACAAGTCTTAGAGGGGCAGGACAAACGCGCTTAAAGGGCCGGTCATTACCGATGGAGGACGGCACGTGGTAGACACCGTTGTAGAAGATACTATGAAGGAGAACAGCTCGGTACTCCCTTCTTCTCTGGACCACTCTTCTCGACAAGACGCACCTTCCTCAGACGACCAATCACTTACTCCTCGACGCGGCTCCTGGCGACCCCGCAACTGGCCCGGTACTCACCCCTCCTCGGCCGATGACTCGCTATTTGAGTCGCTGACTTCAGGAGACGATCCAACTGACATTGGCAGACTTGTCACATCCGGTCCGGTCTCCGGAAGCAACTTCTCTCGAGGCGCGTTTTGGGAGGGAACAAGGTACGCGCCACCCACTGGTTACGCAAATCTAGCTGCCCTTGGAACGCCGTCGCCTTCAGGTCGGTTGGCTAATGGAGAACGGTTGGCTAATGGAGAACGGTTGGCTATGGAGTCGCTAACTGCGGAGTCGCTAACTATTGGCTCAGTAGAGGAGCCCGGGGTCAAGAGACTACGAAGGAGATCGGCAGCCGCGGTGGCAGCCACCTCAGCGGCCGCGTCGCGGGGAACTGCGACCAGAAGTAGCGCCGTTCCTTTCCTCGAAAAAGCGACCACCCGTTCGGATTACCGGTCCAGTCTGGACTACCGGTCCGCCGTGGCTACCACTCCTAGGTCCTGCGCAGTCCATCTTCCCGGTTCAAGAAGCCGCCGGTTCCCAAACCACCTTTGCGCGGACCGGACCTGCCCTCCCGAACGTTCGTGGCCGCATCTCCCGGCAACGGTCGGAGTCGCGGTTCAAGAGCCAGTCCGGATGTCCTTCCCGCCGTGCGACGAATCGCGGGCCAGGACTACCTTTTATCGGGGCGACTCCCGCCTTCTGAACGACCCGGCGCAGCGCAGGAATGCTTCACTTCTCAGAACGACGGAGACCCGGCACGGACCGTGTATGCCAAGAGCCTGCGGCCAAGCCACCCACAGGCAGAGGAACCTAACCGCCAGCGACCAGGACGAGGACGCACGTCTCCGGAAGCCATTACTTACATCCACGTGCCGTGCCTTTCCCAGGACTCCATGACTGTCACTATCGAGCCGCTCCCCATCATACAGCAGGTTCTGGCCGACATCCGGCAACTGAAACAGGCCTAGGGACGGAGCTAAGGAATGACTACGAGTCCCGGTCCGTACACCGCGGGGGATCCGGTCAGGAGGAAGAGTCTTAGCGCAAGGGACTGAGGGGCCACATTCAACACAACAAGGGGTCACACAACAGCAAGGGGCCACACAGTTACGGTGCCCATTTCAGATGCCCACGTTTTTGGATTGTGAGCTGGATGAGTTACCGGACTGGTCGGAGATATCTGAGGTGATTGGTGAGTTCGACTATGGCACGGGCTCTACCTACCGTTCCAGCTTAGGAGGCGCCCCGCCGACGGGGAACATCGTGTACGACGACTATGCCTTGCTGAAGGACTACTTGATGGAGGAGGTGGACTCTACGTCGTCCGTAGTCACTGCTTCGACTCAGTCCTCCCGACGACGAGTTGCCTTCGTCAAGTCCGTGGGTCCGACCAGACAGCCTCGACGGTATAAGGGACTGCGAAAGGCTTCAGCCGCCGGAGAAAAAGCCTACACTGTACAGTTTATGCAGGACAATCCACGTGCAAGGGCTCCGCCGCTCGAGCTAGGTCTACAACCAGATGGTTTACGACCCAATGGTCTGCAACCAAGTGGTCTGCAACCAAGTGGTCTGCAACCAAGCGGTCTGCAACCAAGTGGTCTGCAACCAAGTGGTCAGCAACCAGATGGTTTACGACCCAATGGTCTGCAACCAAGTGGTCTGCGACCAAGTGGCCTGCAACCGAGTGGTCTGCAACCGAGTGGTCTGCAACCGAGTGGTCTGCAGCCGAGTGGTGTTCAGTCACAGCCTGTGCAGACGGACGGTTCGAGTTGACTCTACAGACCGGATAATGGTCAGCATGGCGGTCCGATGCGCTCGTCGCAGTTGAATTTGATGCAGCGGAAGGTAATGATGCAGCATGCGCAGGCCGCTGAGGAGTCCCAAAAAAGCCC